GTGCCAGGAATGGGTTACATCATAAGTCATCATATATATATATATGTATATGTATATATGTATATATATGTGTGTGTGTATCTTATAATAAGATATGTCCGATGGAGCCGGGTGTTGGTGGCTCACACCTTTAAGCCCAGCACTCCGGAAGCAGAGGCAGGCAGATCTCTGTGAGTTCGAAGCCAACCTGGTCTACAGAGCGAGTTCCAGGACAGCCTCCAAAACAATACAGAGAAACCCTGTCTCGAAAAACCAAAAAAAAAAAAAAAAAAGGTGTATGTCACCATACCCAGAAAAATTTACCTCATGTTTTCTTTAATTTTTTGATTTTATGTGCATTGATGTGAGGGTGTCAGATCTCTTGGAGCTTGAGTTACAGACATTATGAGCTGCCATGTAAGTGCTAGTAATTCAACCCTGGTCTTCTGGAAGAGCAGCCAGTGCTCTTAACTGCTGAGCCAGTTCTTCAGCTCTACTTCATTTTTATTTATGTGTGTGACTCATATATGTCAAATATAAGCAGGTGTCCTTGGAGGCTAGAAGAGGCTGTGTGTATGTGGTAGAGGCTAAGACAGATGTCTCAACAGATACAAGTACTTACTGCTCTTGCAGAGGACCTCAGCTTAGATTCCAGTACCCATATAAGGCAGCTCAAGATCACTTGCATTCGAGTTCCAGGAGATCAGAAATGTCCTTCCACTTCTTGCCTCTTAAGCGCACTTGCATATATGTGATGTGCATATATTCGTGAACACAGACACATACAAACACATTTTTAAAAATTCTTTAAAAAAAGGGGGGGGAGTTGAGCAGGGCGTTGGTGGCGCATGCTTTTAATCCCAGCACTTGGGAGGCACAGGCAGGTGGATCTCTGTGAGTTCAAGGCCAGCCTGGTCTACAGAGCAAGTTCCAGGACAACCAGGGCTACAGGGAGAAACTCTGTCTTGGAAAACAAAACAAAATCAGCAACCCAATGCAATATACTATCCTGAAACAGTAAAGGGGCATCTGTGGCCCCGTAATGGGATGTAAACTCCCTTGGGTATATGGGTATAGCTAGATCATACAGAATTCTATTTTTAGGTTTTTAAGAAACTTCTTTTGATTTCCATAGTGACTGTACCAGTTTACACTCCTAGCAATAGCAAGTTCTTTGTTCCACACTTCCTAATTAGCATTTGATCTTCCTTCCTTCCTTCCTTCCTTCCTTCCTTCCTTCCTTCCTTCCTTCCTTCCTTCCTTCCTTCCTTCCTTCCTTCCTTCCTTTAGTTTTTCAAGACATGGTTTCTCCGTGTTACTGCTCTGACTGTTGTGGAACTCTCTCTGTAGACCAGGGTGGCCTTGAATTCACAGAGATCCACCTGTCTCTCTGCCTCCCAAGTGCTGGTCAGATGCCCTGGAACTTGATTACAGACAATTACTGCCACGTGGGTGCTGGGAATTGAATTTGTTTTCTTGGTGGTGAGGTTTTGGTTGGGGTGAGATGGAATGTCCATATAATTTTTGATTTTTTGAGGCAAGGTCTCATGTAGCCTGGGTGGCCTCTGGCTCCCACTGTAGCTTGAACTTGTCTTTCTGCCTCTACCTACCTAGAGCTGGGATTCCTGTAGTGTGCCACCACGTCTGGGTTAATCGGAACTGAGGCGTTGAACGCAGGGCTTTGTGCATGCTAGGGAAACCTACCCAAAGGAGCTCCATAGGTAGCGCTTCAAAGTGTCCATTTCTTTTTCTATGTGAGCAGGTGTGCTTATGTCGCTACATGCACGTGTGAAGGTCAGAGGACAGCTTCCAGGAATTGGTTCTCTCTTTCTACCCTGTGGGCCCTGGGCACTGCACTCGGGCTGTTAGCAGTTAGTGCCTTTACCTATTGAGCCATCTTGTCAGCCCTCAGAGTAGTTTAATTCACACTTCTCTGATGGCTAGAGATGTCGACCACTTTAAAAAGTATTTATGGCAACTGGGTGTGGTGGCACATGCCTTTAATCCCAGTACTTGGGAGCAGAGACTGTATCATTGTCAGTCTGGTCTACAGAGAGATTTTTTTCAGGCGAGTCAGGACTGTTACACAGACAGACTCTGTCTCAAAAAACAAAAATAAATTGTTGGCCATTTGAGGCCAGGCAGTGGTGGCAAACCAGCCTTTAATCTCAGCACTCTGGTGGCAAGCACAGCTGGATCTCTATGAGTTCAAGGCCAGCCTGATCTACAAAGTGAGTTCCAGGACAGCCAAGGCTACACAGAGCAACCCAGGCTCAAAAAGAAAATTGGCCATTTGCTACCCCCCCCCCCAGAAAAGGTTTCTCTGTACAATTGCCCTGCCTGTCCAGGCCTGGAACTTACAGAGATTCATCTGCCTCTGACTCCCTAATGCTCGGATTAAAGGTGTGTGCCACCACTGCCTGGCAAAATTGGTCATTTGTATTCCCCCCCCATCTTTTTTTTTTGAGAATTACCTGTTTGTTTCATTTGGCCTATTTATTGATTGGCAGTGTTTTCTGACATTTAATTTTTGTAGTTCTTTATATATTCTAGATACTTATTTATTTATTTATTTATTATTATTATTTTTTGGTTTTTCGAGACAGGGTTTCCCTGTGGCTTTGGAGGCTGTCCTGGAACTTGCTTGGTAGACCAGGCTGGTCTCGAACTCACAGTGATCCGCCTGCCTCTGCCTCCCGAGTGCTGGGATTAAAGGCGTGCACCACCAATGCCCGGCTCTAGATACTTAAAAAAAAAAATTTTTTTTCAAGGCAGGGTTTCTCTGTGGCTTTGGAGGCTGTCTTGTAGACCAGGCTGGTCTCAAACTCACAGAGATCCACCTGCCTCTGCCTCCTGAGTGCTGGGATTAAAGGCATGCGCAACCACCGCCCCGCTAAAAATTAATTTTATTTAAATTAAAAACAATCTTGCCGGGCGTTGGTGGCGCACGCCTTTAATCCCAGCACTCGGGAGGCAGAGGCAGGCGGATCTCTGTGAGTTCGAGACCAGCCTGGACTACCAAGTGAGTTCCAGGACAGCCTCCAAAGCCACAGAGAAACCCTGTCTCGAAAAACCAAAAAAAAAAAAAATTAAAAACAATCTTATTTTACATACCAGTGACATATTCTAGAATTTAACTCTATCTGAAGTATAGTATAGCTGGCAGAAATTATCTCCTACTCTATACAGAAGAAGGTCTGTTCATTTTGCTGATGCAGAACCCCCCCCATATTTTGGATGCAGAAGCCTTTTAATTTTATGTATGTAATCCCATTTGCTAACTTTTTTTTTAAAGATTTATTTTATTTTACACATGTGTGTTTTACCTATCTGTCTGGTATCTGTGGATGTTAGAAGAGAACATCTAATCCCCTGAAACTGGCGTTATGGATGTTTTTTGGCCACCTTATGGGTGTTGGAAACTGAACCCAGGTCCTCTACAAGAGCAACAAATTTTCTTAACAGCTGCCCCTCAATTCTTGGGCTATTTTTTGTGCTATTGGGTTCTATTCAGGTATTTCTTGCTTTCATAGGTGCTCTGATTTCAGGTCCTACTACTGGTCCTCTGACTGACTCTACTCCAGCTCCATTCTTGGCTCATGGAATGGACCAAGCACAGGTTTTCCCATTTGCCTGGACCACTTGCTACCCCTACCCCTCCTAAGATCACAGCTTGGGACAGGGGTACTTGTGACGTCTGTCAGGTTTTTTTCCTGGGCACTGCTGAGTTTATGCTGTAATGGCTTTTGTGTGGCCACTCCTGCCATGCATTCCTGCAGTCAGATAGCCTGGGTTGTAGACATTCCTGTGGTCACATTGATTTGAATGAGAAGACTCATCGAGGATCAAATCACTGTAGTGTGAACACCTCTAGACAGAGTGGGGTGCAGGCATTCCTGGAATCACGCAGAGAGGTAGGGCTCTTCCTGTGGTCAGAGACTAAAGAGCAGATGCACTTTAGACTTTGGAAAGACACAAGATTAAGCCAGAGAAGATGGTACCCTACAGTTTAGGGAGTTCATATCAGCTCCTGCTTGTTGGGCTGTAGAAAATCAGGACCAAAGTCAAGGAAGACTTTCTGATACTTCTTTAGAAAACAGGCCTCCCTCCTAGACCCTCTTATTGGCAGTGCTGGGTTACAATTCAAGGACTTGTACATGTTAGCTAAGTGTGGACAAAAGACTCACAACCTAAAAACTTGTTCCAATAAGTTTAGCAGAGTGAAACATGCCTTTAACGCCAGTACTTAGAAAGCAGAGACAGGTGGATAAGTATTTTAAGGTCATCCTTGGGTATATAGCAAGTTTGAGGCCAGCCTTGGCTACATTAAATCCTCTTTCTTTTTTTCTCTTGTTTTTTTGACACAGGGTTTCTGTGTAGCCTTGGCTGTCTTGGAACTCACTCTGTGGACCAGGCCTACCTCTGCCTCCTAAGTGCTGGGATCAAAGGTATGTACCACCACAACCTGGCATGAGACCCTTTTTTCAAAAAATAAAACAACAAAAAAAATTGTTTGAGAAATCCTTTGGAAATCTGCTTATATCTGTGGATTCTTTCATAGATTTTTTTCCTTGTCTTTACTTTTTGAACCAGCATCTCACTATGTAGCCCAAGCTGGCTTCAAACTCACAACACTCCTGCCTCAGTCTCCCACATTCTGGGATTATAGGTGTGTACTACATTTGGCTTCAAATTTTCTTTTTTTTTTTTTTGAAATGGGGCCTAGCTATGTTGCCCAGGTTGACATTGAACTTCTGGGTTTGAGTGTTATTTTGTGCACCTGAATAACTAGGACTACATACAGATGGTGGTAGTGTGACATCCAGCTAACAGAATGTGTGTGTGTGTGTGTGTGTGTGTGTGTGTGTGTAGTGAAGATGGAATCCAGAGACTTGTGCATACTAGGCATGTGCTTTACCACTGAGTTATATACCCAGCCCATCACAAGAATTTTTTGAAAACACACATACATATATATATATACAAATACATATGAATAATGAAAGCCAATTACACTGAAGTAGTTATCACCGTATATTTAATTGAAACTGGGATACAGTAGCCAGGTTTGGTGGCACAGACCTGTAATCTCAGCACTCAGGGGGCAGACGCAGGAGGATCTTGAGTCTGAGGGCAGTCTAGCCTACATAGGAAGATATTGTCTTAAAAATACCTGATGTAGCATTAGATGGGATGTTTAATTATAGGACTGATTTATAAAATCTGCTATTATCCAAAGCAGCGAGAAATATGAGCAGCATTTCAGATGCCTGTAAACTGTAATATAAAAAGTACATGATTTGATAAGCTGTCAATGCTCATTGATTGGGAATAAAGCTGAACTTCAGTTATAGTGAAGATGTAATATTTTCCTCCACCCAGTTGGTGGAGGTCCTTGATGCTTATTCATGCTAAAAACCTGTGCTTCTGGGGGAAATCCTGGACCTGCTCAGGACACCCCAGAAGCTGAGAGAAGAGGCATGTGCTCAGTCTCGAGAGATTCCTCCTGCAGCTCTGCACACTTCCTCACTGTTTCTTTGTTGTCATGGAGTTGTTGCAGAAACCCACTCTAGGCTTGTCTGTTCAGGGCGCACAGATGGTATCTGCAAACAAACTTATCAAGCCAGCTTCTGGTTTTCCTGGCAGGCAGCAGCTTCTGACTTGTATGAGTTTGACTTTTACTGCAAACCCTAACATAAAGGAAAATGCATAAAACAAGTACGTCAAGATTAACTACAAAGTGCTATTTCATTCTCATTGCTGAGAAGCTGCCCCCCTCCCCAGAGGGCAGATGAGGTTTAACAGGGATGCTACAAACATTCAAAAACTAATTTCTCTGAAGCAATTGCTTTTTGTGTTTCTTTACTGTATGTATGTATGTATGTATGTATGTATGTATGTATGTGTTTGTGCATATGGAGGTAACAACATGTACGAGTCAGTTCTGTCCCTCTACCCCGAGGGTTACAGGGGTTTAACTCTGGTTGTCAGGCTTAGGTGGAAGAGCCTTTTCCTACTGAGCCATCTCACCAGACCTAGAACTAAATTTTCAGACATGTAGCTGGGGCTGGGTACGGTGGTGCACACCTTTGAACCTAGCAACCCAGGGTCTCATATATGCCAGGCAAACCCTATCACTGACCTACATCCCAGCATCATTTTGGTGTTTTGTTTTTTTCAGACAGGCTCTCTCTGTGTAACAGCTCTGGCTGCCTGGAACTCGCTCTGTAGACCACACTGGTGTTGAACTCATAGAGATCTCCCCAGTGCTGGGATGAAAGGTGTGTGCCACCACCACCCAGAGGTTTTTGTTTTAAAGACAGGGTTTCTCTATGTAGCTTAGGCTGGACCTTCTCTCTTTTGTGTGCTGGGATTAAAGGCCTGTGCCACCATACCTGACCTGTTTCAATTTTTGTTTTTCAAGACAGGGTTTCTCTGTGGCTTTGGAGGCTGTCCTGGCACTAGCTCTTGTAGTCTGGTCTCGAACTCACAGAGATCTGCCTGCCTCTGCCTCCCGAGTGCTGGCATGTGCCACCACCACCCGGCCTGTTTCAATTTTTAAAAAAACATTTATTTCCATTTTATGCATGTGACTATTTTGCCTGTTTGCATGTATATAAATGGCTTGCATGCATGTTTGGTAAATATGGAGTCCAGAAGAAGGCATGATATCCCCTGGAACTGGAGTTATAGGATGGTTGTTAGCTGCCATATGGGTGCTGGGAACTGAACCCTGCTCCTCTAAATATGCAATAAGTGATCCTAACCACTGAGTCTAATACCTTGTTTCAATAAAAAATTAGATTACTTATTCAATTATTTCATGAGTATGGGTGCTTTGCTTTACATATGTGTGTGCCTAGTGTTAGAAGGTTGTGAGCCTGTGTTTCAAATTTTTGTTGTTGTTTGTTTTTTGAGACAGGGTTTCTCTGCATAACTTGCCTAGCGGTGGTGGCACACGCCTTTAATCCCAGCACTTGGGAAGCAGAGGCAGGCGGATCTCTGTGAGTTCAAGGCCAGCCTGGTCTACAAGGATTAGTTCCAGGACAGCCTCCAAAGCAATACAGAGAAACCCTGTCTCGGGGGGGGAGGTGAGAAATACACCTTTGTCACTGTGTAAATATATATTAGAGCAGTATACTTAACAACATAGAAATCACTAGATAGTAAGATAGTATCTTATGAGACATTTGTTGTCTGCGCAGTCTGTGTTGAACAAGTTGTTATTTTGTAACAAATTGTATCATAGCCAAATACAAGCTACAATGTATAAATTTAGAGTCTTTGTTTTCTGCTGTAGCTCTCAACCAAGAATACATTCAATAAATATATACTAACCCCCTCAACAGGTAACAAAGTCTCTGGGGGTAGGGGGCTGGAGAGATGGTTCAGTACATTGGTTACTCTTCCAGAGGTCCTGGATTTGATTCCCAGCACCCACATGGTGGCTAACACTCTGGCCATCTCCATAGCCTTTGTTTTTATTTAAGGTAAGGTCTCATATAGCCCAGGCTGTCCCCAAACTTGCTATATGTCTGTGGATGACCTTGTACTTCTGAACTCCTGTGGTGGTTTGAATGAGAATGGCCCTCAGGGGCTCATCTATTTTCCAACGCTTCGTGCCCAATTGGTGAAACTGGAGGAGGAGGCGTGTCATTTGGGGACAAGCTTTGAGGATTCAAAAGCCCAGGCTATTCCCAGTAATCGCTCGTACTCTGCCTTGTGCTTTTATCTTTCCATTTCTGTTCGAGAGCCATGCCTGCCTGCTTGTTACCTTGCTCCCTCCATGGTGGTCACAGATTCATCCCCTCAAACTGGAAGCCCCTAATGAACACTTTCTTCTAGACGCTACCTTGGTCACGGTGCCTTATCACAGGAATTGAAAAGTAGCTAAGGGCCTGGAGAGATGGTTCAGAGGTTAAGAGCACTGGCTACTCTTCTAGAGGTCCCGAGTTCAATTCTCAGAAACCACATGGTGGCTGACAACCATCTGTAGTGAGATCTGGTGCCCTCTTCTGGCCTGCAGGCAACATTCAGGTAGAACACTGTATACATAATAAATAAATAAATCTTTATTTATAAATCCTCCTGCTGCAGGATTACAGGTGTGGGTCACAACATCCAGGTTCTGTGGTCCTGGGGCTAGAATCCAGAGCTTACTTAGTGCATTTGACCAACTCAACCACACCTCAGGTCCTAATATGTTTTTGCTTTGTTTCCTTGGTAGTTTTGAAGACTGAAACTTTCAGCCCTTTAAAGATGTATTTTTATTTTATGTGTATGAGTATTTTGCCTGCAATTATGTCCAATAAATAAAATACTAAAAAAATTTAAGTCAAATTTACTGAGGTTTTTCATTTTTGAGACAGGTTTTTGTGTAGCTCATGCTGGTTTTAAACTTGCTATGTATCTGAGCCTTGTTTTGCATCTGAGTGCTAGGAATACAGGCTCTAATACTATGCTTGTCTGCTTGTTGTTGTTTTGTTTGAGACAGGGTTTCTCTTTGTAACTCTGGCTGTCCTAGAACTCACTCTGTAGATCAGGCTGGCCTCGAATTCACAGAGATCCGCCTGCCTCTGCTGGGATTAAAGGTGTGAGCCACCAGGCCTGAGACCAGGCTAGCTTCAAACTTGTAGAGACCTACCTGCATCCCCTTGACTCCCCAAAGTTCTGGGACTAAAGGTGAATGCCACCTTGCCCAACTATTTTTTTTTTCGAGACAGGGTTTCTCTGTGGCTTTGGAGGCTGTCCTGGAACTCACTTGGTAGTCCAGGCTGGTCTCGAACTCACAGAGATCCACCTGCCTCTGCCTCCCGAGTGCTGGGATTAAAGGCGTGCGCCACCAACGCCCGGCTATTGCCCAACTATTTTTATTATTTTTAATTGTGTGTCCTTTTCCTGGGTATGTGCTTGTGAATGTAGGTGACACCCAGGGAGGCCAGACACATCCAACCCCACGGAGGTGGGGTCCCAGATAGTAGTGAGCTGCTCGAACCAAACTCTGATCCTCTGCAAGAGCACCGCCTGCTCTTCACCACTGAGCCAGCTTGCAGTTCCCATTCAGCTTTTCCCCAAAGATGCCCTGTATCTGAACTTCAGGGAGGAAAAGGCAAATTTACCTTAATGAGTTAGGGGTGAGGAGTTCCTTCCAGTGTCTCCCACCTGCCGAAGAAAAAGAAAAGGAACTCAGCTATTTGGCTACATTTTTCCACTTGCCAGATTCTTATAGTTGTTGCCTGGCAGGAAAGAACCACGTGAGTCAGGACAGAAAATGGCATATGGGGAAGGTGTCGTGGTGGGCTCAGAAGTGAATATCCAGACCTTGGGAGCCAGCAAGGTATGACACTGAGGGACAATCAGAGGCTGGGGCAACTTGTCTACTCTGTTGATGGAGCATTCTTGGGGGAGGAGCTCCTTGGCCAGCTGTCCATTCTTCTTCAACCTGCAAGCCTCCTGGTACGGGGGTGAGATGGGGGGCTGTGTGGGTGGAGTATATTTGTACTCGGAGCCGTCTTCTAGCTGTGGGACACAAGGAGCAGGGAGATGATAAGTGAGCATCTGAGACAGTCTCCGTGACCCACATCCTGATGATTGGACACTCACATTCAGAGGATAACTGCGATCCGAATCGTAGGCGCTGAGGTCCCCACAGGTCACAAAGGGCACAATAACACGGGTAGGACCATCTAGCTGGTTGAAATCTGAATCTTAGAAAAAGGCAGAGTGAGCTTGGCGGTGGTGGCACACGCCTTTAATCCCAGCACCAGGGGAGGCAGAGGCAGGCGGATCTCTGTGAGTTCGAGGCCAGCCTGGTTTACAAAGCGAGTTTCAGGACAGCCTCCAAAACAATACAGAGAAACCCTGTCTTGAAAAAAAAAAAAAAAAAAAAGAGGCAGAGTGAAGACTAAGACCAAGGCCAGCTATGGGACAGGCTACAGGAGCATTAAACCCCTCCCCCGTAACTGGTCTATCACCAACTAGTCCTCTAGAGTAGATTGCCTTCATAGGGGGCTTGTCTGATCACTGATTCTAAAATGTCAGTCCCTACTCTGGCCTTTCACTGTATTTTGTCCATCCAGCATTTTACCAGCACATTCTATCAGGACCTTGTCTCACTCAGATGGGATTTCTCTTTGCCAAGGAAGGGCGAGGCTACAGACCTGTTTAGGGAACATGTTTAGCACAGCCGAGGTTTCCACCTGAAGACAGGGACAGGGCTTTCCTAAGACAGACACGATGTTCCCTGGGTGAATGCTTAGGAGTTTGAAGTAAGAGAATCTCTACCAGGACCAAGTGCTACTTATTGGAGGACTATCTGAAGCTCCTTTTACAACAAAATATCCTTAAGAGGGGTACAACTGGCAGCCGGGTAGAAGGCTGAGGGCCCTCAAGAGACATTAGATACATGTGGTTGGTGCCGTTTCCCCAGGCATGGATCACCAGCTCTGGCTCTCACCGTAGGAGTGGTCCAGCAGGGGTCTGGTCAGGTCTGGAATGAAGCCCTCAGGAGGGTCATAACCCTGACAAACAGCAAAGGCCTCTGTGGGGAGAACCTGGGGTGAGGGGTGGCTCTTTGTCACCTCAACCCTGTGGGGACACACGCCCAGTCACCCCCTTGCCTATCATGCTTCCATGCCACTGACCAATGCTGGAATTCCGGCTGCTCTTGGGCTTGGCACAGAGCACGCTGGAGAAGAAGACACGCAGTTGGCTGTAGAGCAGTGTTACATCTCGGCCTCGGAATATCTGTAAGGGTGCGGAAAGCAACATGGAAAGGTAACGGTGCCCCACCCCCGGACCTTTCTCAACACTCCCCCAGGTCCTCCAAGGCTCACCTTGGCTACAAAGCAGCCCCCTAGCTTCAAGACATGTGTAGCAATGTTGAGGGCCTGTGGGAAGGACAGATGGGTACAGTGGAGGTTGTTGAGGAAGAGGCAACCAAGAGAGGGCTAAAGGAGGGCAGGGGCGGCCACCAGGGTTACTCACAGCTAGCAGAAGCTGGGCCTGCATGTACTCATCGACATCATGGAGGCCAGTGACTGTAGCAAGAAGAACAGCATTAGGGGACCTCTGATTTGATATATCTTTTTGCACCAGAGATTAGAAAACTAAAGACACTTTTCAGGCCCTCATACTGCTAAGGTTCTGGAAACAGAGGACTGCCTTCCAACTGGTTTTGAACTCTGACCCCTAGCACCTGCGAAGTCATTTTAATTCTGGAAACTACTTGTCCCACGAGCAGCACTTACATTTCTACCTCTAAGTCTTATTTATAGACCAGTCCCATAGGCTCGAGAAGTTCAAAGCCAAATTTCTACTGCTTTTTCCTTCTCTACCAGCTCCTCTATGTTTCTCAGCTCATCTGATCCTTCCAGTTATTTGTGTCAAAAACCTTAGTTCCTGGCCTGGAGAGATGGCTCAGAGGTTAAGCGCACTGTCTGCTCTTCCAGAGGACCTGAGTTCAATTCCCAGCAACCACATGGTGGCTCACAACCATCCGTAATGAAATCTGGTACCCTCTTCTGGCATCCAAGTAGAATGCATGATAAATAAATAAATCTTTAAAAAAAAAACAAAAAACCTTAGTTCCTATGACCAACTCTGGTCTCCATCATCCTCACGTTCCAGACTAGCAAATCCAGCTAGCTCTATTTTTCAAAATGTGACCTTTTCACTACTGCAGGGGCCACCTCCTGGTGTCCCTGCTTTCACCTCTGGTCCTCATACTGTTCAGCAGCCTGAGGGATACAGTCACAATCCCAGCCAGGCAAGCTTCCTTGATCCACAACCCTCAGGGTTTTCTCACAGTTGTGAGTACCAAGAGCAATGGACAGCCCATTAGCAAGTTCCCTGTCAGTTCTCTTTGCTGTCAAGTCAAAGAAGCCTCTCTTGTCTACTTTATTTAAAATCCCAACAAGTAGTTTTTACTTCCTTGGCCTGTTTCAGGGACTTCCCTATACCATTTTTAGTTTATTTAATTATCTTTGTATTAAAAATTATAAACTGCTATTAGTTTTGCAGAGTTTTAAATTTAAACATTTTTCAATGTATGTATATGTGTGTCTGTGTCTGTCACAAGTGTGTGCTCATGGAGACCAGAAGAGTGTTAGATCCCATGGAGCTCGAGCTACAGGCAGTTGTGAGCCACCAGGCATGGATGGGTCACAAATGAACTCGAGTCCCTGGAAGAGCAGCAAGCACTTTTAACCACTAAGCCAGTTCCCCAACGCCCTGTTTTTATTTTTTGAGACAAGACCTCCGTAGTCCAGGCTGAGCTGGAACTCTAGTGATCTTCCTGCCTCAGTCTCCCCAGAGCTGAAATTACAGGCATTGAGCTGCCAGCTGTTTCTTTTCTATGTATTCCCACTCAAACATTGACTTCACAAGGCCAGAGGTCAGTGAATGTATTTATGTGCACTTCCCCAACACAACAGATACTGTTCTCAATAGACAGCTGGAAAAAAAGGGACACAGGATTGACAGGCAGCCACATGAAAAGGCAGGAGGTTGGACCAAAAGCACAAAGCTGGAGAGCAGGAGGTATACTTTAGTGGCAGAACACTTGCCTAGCATACCCCAGGGTCCCCCCATTTCTAGCACCATGAAACGGTTAAAAAAAAACACACACTTTCAAGGTGATGAGAAGGAAGATGGAGAATGAGAGCAGGGAGCAGAAGTAGAGAGAAATTTCCAAAGAGGAAACGGTGAGAGCAGAGGTTAAGAGGGAGAAAAAAAACTGAGCCAGGAGATGAATGTCACCCCACACCCCATTTTACCATCAGGAGCCCCGTCACACACTACTAGGTCGGCAGGGCAGCCCTCAAAGTGCTGGATGATCTCCTTGGCAGTGGAAAGCTATGGAGAAAGGGGGATGAGTGGCCTCGGTGCTCCTCTGCTGGCCCCACCCCCAAATACCACCTGCCCACAGCCCTAGCCTCAAAGCCTCTGGGGCCGTCATGTTCTCAGGCTTTGCCATCTCTAGGGACCCAGTCTCACCATCTTTTGGTGGCTCTGCACTATGATCTCCTGGCCGTTTGTCTGTCTTTCTCAGCTTGTGTCTCTGATATGGGGATCGAGCCCGATATGGTTTGCTCGTGTTAAACAAGAGTTGTAGTGCTAAGCTACGTCTCCAGTCCCCCTCCTCTTTCTTTTGTGTTTAAAAAAATTCTAAGGGGCTGGTGAAGTGGCTTAGTAGGTAAAGGTGTTTGCTGGCAGGCCTGCTGACCCAGAGTTCTGTCCCAAAAACTCACATAATGGAGGAAAAGAACTGACTCCTCCAAGCTACCCTGACCTCTGTATGCATACCATAGCAAGCAAGCACCCACATACATACACACAACGAATAATAGCAAATATTAACCATTGATTAAAAACATTTTTCTTTTCTTCTTCTTTTCTAAATGTACACAGATGCTTTGCCTGTATGTATGTTTGTGTCCCATATGTATGCCTGGTGCCGGGGAGGCCAGAAGGCGCCCTTACAATCCCTGGGACTGGAGTTACAGATTTGTGAGCCATTGTGTGGGTGCTCGGAATTGAACCTGGGTCCTTTGCAAGAGCAACCAGTGCTCTTGACTGCTGAACCACGTCTCCAGCCCCTAAAATACTTTCAAGAGCATTTATTTGTTCCTGTACTGTGTGTGTTTAGGTACATGTGCAACTGCATGCGGACGTCAGAGGATACTTTGAGGATGGAAGCCAGTCAGCTGGTTTGTGGGCAAGCACCCTTACCTGCTGAAGCGCCTTGCAGCCAGTCCTTTCTCTTTTTAATTCTGAGCTACAGTCTCGTTACATAACTCAGACTAGCTTCGTGTTTATTATCCCTCAGCCTTCTAAATCCAAGGATCGCACATTACTTTCGTTGACTTTTCAAGACAAGGTTTCTGTGTAGCTTTGATGCCTGTCCTGGAACTCACTCTGTAGACCAGGCTGACCTTGAACTCACAGAGATCCACCTGCCTCTGCCTCCCGAGTGCTGGGATTAAAGGCGTGCGCCACCACCACCACCACCTGGTTACTTTTGCTGTTTTTTTTTTGCCTCGTTTCTCTTCCACCTTGCATAGCTCCCAATTAGAGCCTTCCCTCAGGATAACCCGATATTCTCAATCATGCGCTCACCTGAGTGATGTCCCCCTGGATCTGTATCACGCCGGGGAGTGGAGCCATAGCCTGCAAGTCCACAGCTACCACCTGACCGTTAGTCTGGCCCCTGTGGACAGCACAGTCCGTGTCAGCACAGGCTTTACTCCCAGCCCTTCCTCCCAGCACTCCACCCGCCTATACCTCCACTCACCCAACCTTCTGGCTCAGCACCTGGCTCCAGCTGCCCGGGGCCGCACACAGGTCAACCACTCGCTTCACACCTGCGCACACACAGTAAAAACACACTTTGTCAGCGGCATAGACCTTTCTCAGCTGAGGACCCTGCATGCTCCACGTGTCTCCCCTACAGCAAACCTCTGTCTGCCCGGTGCGCTCGAGCCACCTCCTCTAGGGTTTGCGGCCTTCCCTGTCTTCCTGCCCCAGATATCCTTGAAGTTAGCCCACCCACTGCAGTGAGTTCTGCAGCAGCAACCTTCTCTTCACTCCCAGGACACTGGGCCACCAAATTAGGCACCTTGGAAGAGTTGGAATTCCTCATCAAGTTGAAGTAGCTTGAAGGCGCTTCGGGCCCGCCAGCCATTCTCCTTGGCCAGGCGGTAGTAGACATCCCGTTTATCCTTTGATGTTCGTCCCATCTCTCTTCTGCTGATGCTGTCCTGTATGAGTAAACAGAGTAGGTAGGAGGATACCACCTACCTGCACAGGGCAGAGAAAACAAGGTAGAGCTAACTGAGTTCATGCGACAGCTCATTCAACACACAGAGACGGAAGCCCCAACAGGGCCCTAAGTCCCTTACCATGCAGTCCCTTCCTCATCAGATTCCACAGTTAAGGACCTACTACTGACCCTGCCCATGTCCAACTACTGTCACTGACACTCTACACAAGTAATCTCTCTCTCTCTCAACTATTTTCTCTGGCCATTTCGTCTCTATTAATACCTGATCATCTCTCTAGTTCTTTCCAGCGGCTCTAGATGCACAGAATCCCCACTACACTCTCTTAATCCCATGCTTTTCACACCTAATACCCTGAGACACCCTTATTTCATTTCCCACAGCCTAATCTCTCTCTCTACCCTGCAGTCCAACAATCCCTTCAAAGATTAGGCCTTCAGCCATGAATTACTACCACACTAATCTCCACTAATGCTTAGAGGATGGTGACCTGTTGGGTCTCTATTACGCCAATTTATCAGCTAAGCCCTTCAACCAACCTCTCCCCGATCAAACTAGTGGCCTTCAGTATCCTTTTCATCAGTACACATTGCCCAGGATGCTCCCACAGCTTCTATTTCTTCTTTCATCACTCCCCGACTAGTCCTCTCATCACTCTGCCTACCCACCTGTTATGCTCTCCATAACCTCCCCATTATCAATTATGATGCAAACTCCTGAATATCCCGACCGCTCAGCAATCATACTCTCATTACTCATTCCTTCATTATCCGACCAGTGAGCACACTCTATCGGCCTCCAAGAACAACTCAACTATTATTAGCCTTCATTAATTTTCCGGTGGACAAAGCACCACATGTCTAATGCCTTAAAGAATCATCTTCTATTAACAGCCCCAACTCCATCTTCATGACCTCAAAGACCATCACCTTCTCAGGGCCACCAGATACACTCCAGGTGGTCCAGGGAAGAACAGATCAGTTGTGTAGCTACATGTTGCAATCCTCGAGTTCATTCAGCATTCCAGTTCTTGCTCTAGGAGAGCTTCCCGGGGCTTGACTGAACGGTGCGGTTGCAACACCAAGAATGAACCCCTTCCATCCAGACAGGGCAGGCATGCCTCTAGTCTTGGTGCCCCAGGACCTACCTTAGCTCTTGGATAGGGAGGGAGACTGGATCACCAGCTTCAAGAAGAGTGTGCAAATCTGTGAGAAAAGGTAGAGTTCCAGCTGATGTTAGGAGTTCACCCGAAGGTCTGTCGCACATGCCTAGACTTTGTAACAACGTGGCTAACTTTGCATTGTGAAACACTTAAGCTCTACGTAGGTCCAGACCAGAGCAGAACGTATGACGTTAGTTTCGTCCTCTTTTGTCGACATATCCGGGTCAAAGGAACTGCTAGTCCCAGAATGCAACTGACATTGCTAAGCCAATAATATTGCAAGGCTCGTGAACCGCCTCTTAGTTCTTTGTTTCGAGGCCAGGGTCATATAGCTGAGCCCAGGAGGGCGAGGCAGCAAGATCGCGAGTTCTCAGTCAATCTGGGTTATATAGAGAGACCTTGGCATGGGAAATCCTCACCCCGTTCCACGCACTCGCACAAAAAAGCAAGAAAAAGGAGGCCAAGATAACTTATTTAGCCGCTTTCTTTTCTTTTTTACATCCTAGCGGTCATTGAGCCTATGTACTACATTTCCCAAAATTCAGCGCCATGACCACGCCTAGCCTCTTTACGTCTGGAGAAAAGGGAAATTACGCAAGGGGGCGGAGCGTGACCAAACGGTGGAGGAAAGCGCCTTGCAAATGCTCGCTGAGAAGCTGCCGCGTGCAATTTTGAATCGACTTCTACTGGTTGATTGCGGTGCTTTCAGTTTTGCCATCTCAGAATTTTAGTTTCCCCATCTGAAAAATGGAGATAATCACTGATGAAGAATTCACGGTGTTAATTGGAAAGTTAGAAAGGTGTACACTCATTACATGTTTTCCAAATACTTTTGGAAACATTTTAACCACCACTCATCATTAAAAAGCCTATCTGTGAATTTGTGGCACAGCACACTGGGTAAAGGCTCTTGCTGCTAAATCTGACCACCTGAGCTCGATTCACCCGATCCACACGCACACTGTGGCAAGTGCCCCCTCCTCAAGTAAATGATTAAATAAATGTATGAATGAATAAAAGTTTAAAGTATATATGTATTCGTATACGTTCGTGTGTGTGCTCATATGTCATGACCTAGTACAAAAAATACAATAATTGAAACAGTATTTACCATGTATTAGGCACTAAGTGCTTTCAGTGGTGTGCTGGTAAATGGTTAACTGACTTTTGGCAGGGTAGGGGGTTGCTTCTGTTTGTAGCATTTACTAGTTTCCATGGTTTACATATTATCTATCATCTGGTCAGATTTTAAGTCACCCATGTGTAGTCTGAAGACAGGTGCAGCATTAATGTATTAATTGAACCGTACAAAAGGAGAAATGGCTTCAAGGGCATAGAAAATGAACGAAATACAGTAAAACAATTAAGAAGTGATAGATTTTAAATATCTATTACCTTCAAAAATCCAACCCACTCATTATTAAATTCACGGTATCATATTTCTTTTTCTCTCTCTTCCTGTCTCCTTCTCCCTCCACGGTTTCAATGCAGGTCAAGCTGGCTTCCAACCCATGCACCACTCCCCACCTTCCAGGTGCTGAGGTTTCAGGTGCTTCCCCCCACCCCCATGCACTGTTCAGCATTTTCTCCTGAGTGCTGGGATTAAAGGCGTGTGCCACCACCGCCCAGCCTGAGACCCTAAATAAGAAATGCTGGCCCGGTGGTGGTGGTGGCGCACGCCTTTAATCCCAGCATTTGGGAGGCAGAGGCAGGTGGATCTCTGTGAGTTCGAGACCAGCCTGGTCTACAAGAGCTAGTTCCAGGACAGCCTCCAAAGCCATAGAGAAATCCTGCCTCAAAAAAATAAAAATAAAAATAAAAAGACAGGCTCTCAGTATGTAGCACTGGATATCCTGGAACTGGCCTGAAATTCAGAGGTTCACATGCCTCTGCTCCCTGAGTGCTGAGGTTAGTCAGCATTTCATTTTTGAAAGAGTAATTTATTTTATGTTATGTATATGAGTGTTTTGTCTGCATGTATATGAAGAGAACATGCATGCCTGTGCCCGAGGATGTCATAAGGTATCAGATCCTGGAAGTAGTGTTATGGATGGGTGTGAGCTATCATGTGGGGCTGGGAACTGAATCCGATCTTCTGCAAGAGCTATCTCTCCAGCCCCAGATTGGATTTTGTTACATTTTTAATTTATTTTTATTTCATCTGCATTGGTATTTTGCCTGCATGTATGTCTGTGTGAGAGTGTCAGATCTTGGAATTACAGATAGGTGTAAGCTGCCATGTGGGTGCTGGGACTTGAACCTGGGTCCTCTGGAAGAACAGCCGGTGCTCTTAACTGCTGAGCCATTTCTCCAGCCCAGCATTTTATTTTTAACAATAGTTATTTGACAATCAGTTTACAAAATCCCTGAAAATTGAGCTAGCCTACTTGTAAAAACCTATAACGTTGTTTCCAGTGATCTGCTGAATTCTTAAAATGTTATGCTGAGATTTTATTTTATGCCTGTGCTTGTTTTTTGGGGGGTGGGGGTTCAAGACAGGGTTTCTCTGTGGCTTTGGAGGCTGTCCTGGAACTTGCTCTTATAGACCAGGTTGGTCTCGAACTCACACAGATCCGCCTGCCTCTTCTTCCTGAGTGCTGGGATTAAAGGCGTGAGCCAGCACCGCCCAGCTGCCTGTGCATGTTTTGTCTGCATATATGTTTGTGAATCACTTGCATGCCTGCTAACCTCTGAGGCCAGAAGAGTCCATTGGATTCCTTGGGACTGGAGTTAACAGATGGTTGTGAGCAGCCTTGTGGGTTCGTGGAATCGAACCTGGGTCCTCTGGAAGACTGGAAAGTGTTCTTAACAGCTGAGTGATCTCTCTAGCATCCTGAATTCTTTTTATCCCCACTCAATTTAATCCTTACAACATAGGAGCTAATTATCCTTAACTCACAAGGAGGAAACTAAGGCAAGGAAAGGATACATATTATGAGAAGTGTTTAAATATACATAATTTAATGTAAATGTATAAGATTGTATAGAAATACAGTGATGTTTAATTTTAAATTTCATAGTAGTAAACAGACAGTAAAAATAGGTCACATGTAAGTAATAATATATAAGAGTAAATATGTTACATATATATCATCCTATACATATAACATACAATATATATGGTAATACAAATATGGTACTATGACTCTATACATTTAGTAAAGTAACTGTATTAAATACAGATATACTACTAAATAAATAGATACAGAATCCTTTATTTAGCCGGGTGTTGGTGGCACACCCCTTTAATCCCAGCACTCACTCGGGAGGCAGAGGCAGGCAGATCTCTGTGAGTTCAAGACCAGCCTGGTCTACAGAGCGAGTTCCAGGACAGGCTCCAAAACAATACAGAGAAGCCCTGTCTCGAAAAACCAGAAACCAAAAAGAATCCTTATTTTTCTTTTGAGCTAGGGTCTTGCTATGCAGTCGAGGCTATCATCGAACCTCAGTCCTCCTGCTTTAGTCTCCTCTCATGTTGAGACAAGTGTGACCTTGCTCAGCAAATAGTTGATGTTTTGTCAGGTGGTGACAAAAGTCGGATGCAAAGAACAGACAGTGAAGAAAGGATTAAGCTGCCTTTTCTTCCTTCTTGAGACAAGATCTTGACATGCTGCCCTCCACTTGCTGGGCTCACTTCGCTTTTCTGCCTCAACCGTCAGAGTAGCCTGTAGTTCGTGGCACAGTGGGGAGCTTCGTCGTTAGTTTAGACAGTCAGCTGCTGGAGGAGCTTCTCTGATAAGTTGACTCGGGAGCTAAGATCTGGAGAAGAGCACACTCTGGCAATATTTGGAGGGAGTGCACTGAGGGAAGAGGGAAGAAGAAATGCAAAAAGCTGGCTGGGAAGGAGTTTGGTGAATATTCAAAGAACTGAAAGATGGAGTCTTTGCCTAGTGTGATGTTCTCTGCTGCCTCCCACTGTCTAGAACACGGCCTGCTCACAGTTGTTTGTTGGAACTATCCTCTTGTGGCTTTATTCCTTCATTTTCTTCTCAGTATGGTCCTTTTATTCCCCAGGTCAGGTCTTATGCAAATAAGGTAAACAGCCTACCTTTGATCTGCATCCCCAGCCTGGCTTTCTGCATATATATATATGGGATTAAAGGGGTGCGCCACCAATGCTGGGCTATATATATGTTTTTAGGCTGGGTCTGGAGGCACCTTTAATCCTTACACTTTGGAGGCAGAGGCAAGAGGGTCTCTGTGAGTTAGAGGTTTGAAGCCAGCCTGGTCTACAGAGTACTTTCCAGGCCAGTCAAGGCTACAATGAAAGATCCTGTCTGCACACATTTCTTCTGGGCTTGTCAGGAGGTCAGAGGACAACTTTAGGGAATTGGTTCTTGCCTTCCACTTTGTTGAGGTAGGTCCTTTTTTTTTTCTCTGTGGCTTTAGAGGCTGTCCTGGAACTAGTTCTTCTACACCAGGCTGGCCTCGAACTCACAGAGATCTGCCTACCTCTGCCTCCTGAGTGCTGGGATTAAAGGTGTGCGCCACCACCGCCTGGCCTGCATGCATCATTTACGTGGGTTTTGGAGATGGATCTTGGGTCATCTCACTGTTTGGCTCATGCTTTTTACCCACTGAACCATGTCCCAGACCCCATTCCGCATTCTTGAGAGGTCCTATGGAGAGACAGAAACATTTTTGAAGGACATTTTGCTTTTGAGTCCCTGGATAGGGCTGTGACGGGGCCCTGGTGTGTAGCAACAACCACTTAAGATACCTGAGAGCCAAGAAAGGAGGGGCAGCTTGGGATGCAGTGGCAGAGCACCTGCCTGGTGTGTGTGAAGCTCTGAGCCCCAGCACCCCAAAAGAAGATAAATTACACTACATTAAAAGGCAAAGCAACAGTTTTGTCAGTGGAGCGCAAGAGAGTTCTGTGGGTTATGGGCGCCTGGCTCTCATGCTACAGTAAACAAGTGTGAGAAACGAGGCGTTCAAACAGGCCGCTGCTCCACAAGAGAGGAGGGAGTGCCAGGCACTGGGGGCCCATGTTCATCCTGTTGGATGCTTCCTATGTCCTGTTTTCTTGTGGGCCACAAAGAGGATGTTTAATTTTTAGCAAAGAAACTTGCTTCCGCCAGCAGGGCTCAGGGTTTGGGGGGCAGGAGCCAGGCTCTGAATTCCTCATGCCACCGGAGTTACTAGTGTCAGTCACCTAAGAAGACAGACTGGGCCACCTGTCCTCAATAAGCCAATGAAAGAGACATGAAAGAGACAAATTGATAGTGAA